TAATTTAATAGTTGCAGAGATGGGTGATAATTCTCTTTCTTCATACTGTAAGAATTGCAGATTATTTCCCTACATTATTTAATCTAACTTGAAAACACAGGTTCCTAATCTTGATCCTGTCTCTTTAGTGAATCTGTCTGTGTCTGTGTCTCTGTCACACACACACACACACACACACACACACACACACACACACATATACACCACTCACCACATGCCAAGGCATATAATTTCAGAATTATTACTCCTTAAAATACCTCTATGCATGTCTAATTTAACACTCACAAAATACATTAGCTTATGTTTTGAAATAAAATGTGTAAAGATATTGGTTTCTAGAAGACCAGTATTTTCTTAATATTGGTAACATAAAACAAGTAACAGTTTTAGAGTAATGTCCTTTAAAACTTAGAAAACCATAGCCCTATAATTTTCAGGAATCCTTTTTAATTTACTCTCCTGCAGGGTCAATTTGCCTTCAGGATTAATTTCAAAACTATAAACAGTCATTAAAATACAAAACAACCATAGTTGTGAACCGGATATTAAGAAAAAAGTCACATCTGTTTTAGAGTTCCGTTTCATTTGCAAATTTAGGACATCAATTCCAAGAACCTGGTTTTATGGTATGCCTTTAAGCTAGGAACACCAGGTAACAATCAAGGAAAGGATGGTAAGATTCCTCACAAGCAAATTCTCACTAAAGTAACCTGTCCCCAAGATTTTCTTTAATTCAAAAGAAGTCAATAGAACTGGATTCTGTATTGTCTTATAAATATCCACTACTTTTTGTACATTGATAACTACTGTTCTGATACAAAATAAGAAGAAAGGAAACAAATTTCTAGGCTGTTTATCTGGTGATACTTTTAACAAATACTGAGATTTGGTGACTTTTCAGTGTATAAAGAATTGGAAGCTTGCAAAGAATTTGACTTCTCTAATTTAGGACCATTTTAAAACTCCATCATGTTGCAGAGTACTTATCTTAAATAATCAACTGGAAATACATATATCAGCCAGAAAACCAACTGCAACATTTCTAACTTTTTGAAAACATGTATTTCTGGGCATCAATGAAATCTCTTCCCTCCATAGTAAACCTGATGAAGTACAACTAAAAATAACACTCATCAACCATGGTTTTTGAGGGAATATTTCAACATAATCACATGTCAAATATTCATTCTTCAGGTTCTTATGCTGGTGGTTATAAGTAAGTTTCATTTATTGGGAATGATTGAACATAAGCTGCTTGGGGTCCTGCCATCTGTGAATTACTTACATGCAAACACTCTGTTGAGGAGATGGAAATTCTGATTGCTTTTTCTCCCCCTTGGATATTGGACTGAACAGGATTAAATATGACTCTCTCTTTAGCAATTATTTTCCATATAGGTTGATACGTGGCTATGTTACCACATACTCCTTACCTTCATCAATACTTATGGAGTCATGGGAAGCAAGGACAGTGCAGTTGAAGCTATTGAGAAGGCATCCAGTAGAACTACAGAGCTGTAAAGATGGAAAACATCCTGGTCTCTAAGTCTAAGCTAAATGGGCTTGGTCCTTGACACACAGGCAGCTCTGCAGTATGTTTCCAGGTGAGAACTGGGGTCCTCATGTTCCCCATTCCCTGAAAGGTTTTCTCTCTTACCTCAGAGGAAAGAACAATGAAAGCAATTATGTGAGTACTTATAAGAAACTACATAACTGTTATCTATGTAGAGGTGCCTCTGAGAAGTATGCCAGAGAAGCAGGCACGAAACTAGGATGCTCTAGGTGAAACTCATGCTTTCACTCAAGAGATGGAGCTCAAAGATCTTCCCTGGGGTCATAGAGATGGTTCAGGGTCTAAATGTTGCTTAGGCAGGTGCAAGGATCCAGGTTCAATCCCCTATACTACATGCCTCGTTGGCCTCGCCCTGGGTGTACCAAGCCAGCCACAAGACCAGGCGTGGTGGTGCACACCCATAAATCCCAGTACCGGGGAGGCTGAAAACAGGAGGATTGCTACGAGTCTGAGCTGCATAGTGAGACCCTGTACCAAATACATAAAATTAAAGCAAAACAAAACAAAGAAGAAAAATATCTTCCCTCCAATCATCACATTCATGCTATATCCCACTTTAATTCTGTCCAGAGCTACACTATCAAGAGAAATAAAACAATGACAGATGCAATTCTACATTTTCATCTAAGCCATGCTAAGAAAAGATAAACAGAAACAAGTAAAAATAGCTTAACATTTTCTTTAACCCACTGTGCCAAACATATTACTATTTAAGGAGATAATCAATACTAATGAGACATTTCACATTTTCTTTCTTTCTTTCTTTCTTTCTTTCTTTCTTTCTTTCTTTCTTTCTTTCTTTCTTTCTTTCTTTTTTTTTTTTGGCGGCACCGGGGATTGAACTCAGACCCTTGCACTTGCCAGGGAAGTGCTTATTCCACTGAGCCATCTCCCCGGCACCAACATTATTTTTCTTACTGTAGTCTGACATCTGGTGTGGACCTCACACTGGAAAGACATTTTGATTCATATCAGACACATTTTAAGCATTCACTGGACATGTGCAGCTTGTGGTTACCATATGAAATGTAGTTTCAGAGAGGCCACAAGGTTGGATATACAAAAATACATGAATTAAATTGTAACCCACACAAACTATATTTTTCTTCTAGATTAAAACAAACACTTTTCAGCTTTTTTATTTACTAAGTTTGCCTGTCTGTTCTCTGGAGTAACCAGTTCATGAAATAGATTTAACTGGTATTTTCTTTGGGGAGAATAGGCAGCATGGCTGAATTAAATTAGTTATTTATCAAGCTGGTTAATTGCTGTGAGCCTCCAGGACTTCTCCTAGACTTGTATGTATCTTGCATTCTCAAGGCCAAAACACATTCCCTGAGCACTTTTCATGTATTTGGCCCTAGATACATAAAGATTAAAAAGACACAATGCGTGCAGCTAGAGAAATGTACCTTCATGAGATTCCATAGTAGTAGCTGAAATACCAGATAACACGATCTATTGCTAGTATATAGTTAAAGGGATAAGCATTATTTATATGTACTGATTATGTGCCTCGGAATGTGAAGCATTACAGAATTCATGGAATTTATTTCACAATCAAAGCAAGAGAAGTCTAAGATATGCTTCTATCCCATGCCTAGGCAAGGATCAGACTCTTGAGTCTCAGACCTGGTCTTCCTTATGCACAGAGAACATAGAGGAAAGGAGAAAATGAGGAAAATGTTTTCCTCATTACCACTGACAATATAGGGATTTGGCCAAGTGGCCAAGGCAGTAAAGCACAAGAATCTTGGGTATCAATATTTCTTCTTAAATTGGGATATGAATCTTTGCTAGTAATAATATATCTTCTTGTCCCACATCCCAATATGGAATCCACTGATATCATGATGTGGTGAGGCTCTGAAACCTATGAGAAAGCAGCTCAAATTTCCTCTTACAGAAAGCAATATTGATAATCATTTCAATTGCCCTAAGCACTGAGCTTGAATGATAAAAAACAGAAATAAATCTTGATGGATTTTGTGCATGCAGACAAAGATAACACAGGAGTGAAACACACTCTGACTTTAGGCTATATCTTTGTAAAAATATACACTATTTTTTCTGTTTTCTATAACTCTTTTATCATTAATATGGTTCTCTTTCCCCAATCAAAAATATTAAAGCTGAACATGGTCTCAATCAGTGCAAGTAGAAAAGAAAAAAATGCACCTTACCATATATAGCACTGACTTTATTTATATTTATCATAGATGTTAGGCATCTGAATTTTATGAAGAGTTCCAGGAAATATATATCCTTAAAAGGATAACATTTTGAAAAGGATAGTAACATAAAATTACATATTAAAATAATTCAAAGACAGCTTGTATCTTTAAGGAAAGAAACATGCCAAGGTATCAACACAACTTATTATTACATGCCCAGCCATACAGTACAGCAACTCCTACTTCATACATACTGACACAAGTTTTCGTTAGAAAAATCATATATAACACTGGAATTTGTTTAACTCAAGCAGCATACTGCTGTATCTATAAAAGGTTGCTTTTTTGCCCTCAGGTGTTAGAGACAATATGACTTAAAATTGGAAATAGAATTGCATTTATACTTTGAATATGATTGTTATTAAAGACCACCTCTTGAAATTATATAACCAAAATCTATATTTCCACTGTTTAGATAAATGAAGTACTATGATAGCTCTTCAAGGCAAATGAGGATTTAGCAGAAATATAGTCTTTACTATAACTGTTATAAGTAGAAAAATTGTCAGTATATCTGGCTTATAATTTTTTAAATTCAATCTGAATGCTGAATTTTACAAACCAAATGCTGGTAACACAAATTCATAACACAGAGAGCCTGAAACTCCATAACCACTCACAGTGTTATGATTCTGCAAAGCACTGTGTTAACACACCAAAAAGAATACTAACCATACCTCTGTATGTTAGGAAGCAGGAGGGTGAGGGATGTGTCATATCTCTAGAGTGCTGGTTCAAAGTAGTCTTTGGACTAGACTACCTGGGTTCAATTCCTGGCTGTGCTACCTCTTAGCTATACTGGCTTAAACAAATCACAAAAATCTCTCCACCACAATTTCTTATAAATAAAATGGATACAAAACTTCTACCTACCTTGATGTAGATGTTTAGATGGCAATGGAATGCACTTAAAATAGGGTTTGGCACATAAACAGTACTATATAAATAATGGTTATTTCTTTAACTCTATACTGGTAAGACATCATGTTGTCTATTTTTATAACTACTACTATGTAATGTTATCAAGATGTGTATTTCCTACTGATGATTAAATTACTTAAGACCAAATATAACTACTACTACACATCTTATCAAGACATAGGTCTCCATTTAATTATCAATATACCCAAAGACTCAGTCCATGGGTAAGGTCTTTGAACTTTCACTACAAGTGCCACCAGCATGATACCTACTGAAACAACAGGTTTCACACTCTGGCCACTGGGGTGTGCAACTCTTGGCTGAGCATCAGCAGGTGGCCCAGGCGCTGGGTCACTGCTTCTCCTCACGAGCAGTGGAGTGCCTGCAAGACAAAGAGAAAGGTGAGAGGCCACTGAACCACGGAGAAAGAGAGGACATGGCACAATGTACTTTAATTAGGAAGGTTTACACCATGCTTTATGGAACAACATTCTATTTCTAAGGATGACTATTTAATGATTGTTCATCATCTACATGTAGAATGGCACATACAAACAAAATTCATTCAAATTGTTTCTTTTTCTACTTATATTTTAAAACAAGCCATTGCATTTAACAGAAATTGTTAAGCTATGCAAAAGTGAACAGCAGGAAATCTACAGAGTGATCTAGAAAACATATGTAAATATTAAAAAACGAATGACTATCCAGAAGATGAATAAAGAGGCTCACAGAGCAAGTGTAATTTGCTGTTCAGTAGAACTAGAAGTATAGTTATTACTGCCATTGGTTCTTCCCAAATGATGATACAGACTGAAATAAATTATTTGCCAAGGTTATAGCATTAATGTCTATTTAGGTACACAAAGAGATTAGTTTCATTCTCTTCCCTTTCTCATAAAGTATATAAAACTGATAAAGAAAATAAGTTAGTTCTTCTAAAAATATATCCTGATTTCTTTTTAATTTAATAAAAGCTTCCACTATTAAATATTTGAGTCAGTTATTAAATTCTGAAAAAAAGATCATACTATTAGAAAGTTCAAATGAAATTTAACCTTAGCAGAGCTAATGCCGTAACTACTCTGACTGTAATTAGGCTTAAAATAACGGTTCGTACGAAATTGGCCATTACAGAGGGAAAAAAACCTCAAAAAAATCTGCTTGTTGTTTAAAAATAACATATAAAAATTAACTTTTTATTCTTTTGCTTTTGGGAAAAGTATTGAATACAGTTGAAATGCAACTTCCCATTTATCAATATTCTGAAAATAATTCCCCAATTCTCTCAAGTTATTACAATTTAAAGAAACATTTTTCATCCACATTTGACTTATATATAAAATGGCTTTATATATTTCTTAATAATTTTATTCTGGACAAACACAGAATTGCCAAAATTCTTTGGCCTTCTCTAGATGAGTTGCTTTCCTAACAAATGTTTTCCCAGCTTCACATTCTTTATTTCTTTTTCTTCATTAATTAGACATATCATTGTTGTTATTCATCTTTCCTTCTCCATTTTCAAAATTTCTGAAGCAAATAATTTACTAACATTTGGGTGTTTCACAGCTATTTCCTGAATGAAACTTTATTTAAAAACAAGAAGAATCAAAAAATATAAAGAGATACAATATAACCCAATCTCATATCAACAATTTTTCCCTTTTTTGGCTGAACTGATTATTCTGTATCACTTGTAATTTTTATGCCTTAATATTATTTTGTAATCTCTTTAAAACATAAAAAAAATTAAAAAATCAACTTGTCTCTGATTAAGCACCTGAGTTACCAGTATCATGAAATGAACAAGTTGGTCTAACACATCATGTATATCTTTAAGGGAATGCAGTGAGTTTCATAAAATTCTGGGTTATTTCAAAGCATATCCCAGAACAGGACAGTGTAAGTCAATAGTCTCAAATCAGGGGCAGGGGGAGAAAAAGAAACCAAAGACAGTCCTTGTGGATCACTAAGGCCCTTCTCTTCTCAATCATACCTTGCTTTAGAAGCACAGGAATGTAAATGTAAGGGATCAGTTCAGTTTCATACCAATGTACCAACTTTTTAGAACATTTAAAAAATTACTTGGTGTCTCCTTTATATATACAACTTTGTATCTTTATATATCAGTAAAAATAAATACAATTAAATATAAAATCCCCCAAACAACCAAAAAAACTTTGATATGGTTAGATCTCTCCTAAACATATGCTCAGCTCATCAAGAAAAGTTTTCTTTTTTTTTTTTACTCCATATTAGAAAGTCTTCTACTGAGTCCCCTTCCAATTTTTCTTTGGCTGTCTTAATGTGTTAATAGCAAGCGAGAATCATTCCATATTGGAATCATTAATGAGTACCTTTAAATATGAACTGCTATCTCAGAGAGTTTTAAACAGCCCTTCCTTGAATTAATTTTTCAACTGCCACCCCTTTTTAAGGGTGGCTTTTGGAAAGAGACAAAGTTACAACTGAAGGACAAAGAGTGATATGACCTGATGTACAACAGCAGACAAGCAGTAAAAGCAGTGAAGATAAAACTGTGAGATCCAGAGAGGAGAAGTCACATTTCCTAAGCAAAGTTCATAGACATAAGGGGGACATGAGCTCATTGACTGGCATGGACCCTGCTGTGGTGGAAATGGGGGGATGAAAAAGAACTTCTACACTGAACAATTTTATAACTTAGCCATCAGCAATAGACATTAATGCCAATACAGTGGACATGTTAAGAGAATCACACAGACTAAGTGTGTGAGTCTTTAGTTTTGTGCTACTGGGTTTCAACTATTCCGTGACAGTCTAACTTGGTAAAACCTAGTGACAAGACATTATAGAACTAACAGGAAATGGTCTTAACATAAGGCACACATGGGAAAAGTCCAGTACACAATTCTTAGGCCTGAAGTCTACCTTCTGCCTGATCATGGAAGAAACAGTGTTTTTACTCATTGTGAACAGTATTATCTGCAGAAATAACTGAGTTCTAAAAATCAAATTAATTTTCATGAGATAATACGTAAATGAAGAGTAAAATCTAATTCTGTGCTAAGCCAGCAATAACCTTCCACTGAGTCAAAGCTTTTAAGAAGAAAAAATGCCCCCTACTGGGAATATTCCTGGAGAAACTAAAAACATCATATCAGAGTGATACATGTGTACCTATGTTTATATAGCAGCACAATTTGTGATAGCCAAATCTTGGAAACAAACAAGATGCCTGTCACATGATGGGTTGAAAAAGATGTGGTATTTTTATACAATGGAGTATTACTCATCTATAAAGAATGATAAACTTGAAGCATTTGTATTTAAGTGGATACCACTTGAAGATATACTTATAAGTGAAATAAACCAGACCCACATGTGTAAATGTCATATAGTCTCCCTAGTATAAGAATTTAAAAGAAGAAATACAAATAGAAAGGTATAATACAATTAAAAGGAAAGTGAGAACTGGAGGATTGGACAATAAGGAGAGAGCAAGGAGAAAAGCTGGGAAACAGGACAAGGACAAAGCCATACATTTATACACACAAGATGGGTAAGGCAATGATCTGAGAAACATCAGCAGGTTTTTGAAACTAGCAGTTAATTGGTAGGTTTCTCAACCTGACTAACTATACGTGCTGATACCTATGAACCAAGCAACTGCACTGAAGGTAGCAATGTGTAATAGAAGCATCACGCTTGGAATGCCTGTCAATCTCATCTTCTAAATACGTACTTCATGTTATGACATGCCAATTATTACCATACTGTCTCTCAAGTAAAAGTTTTTTTTTTAAATGGGTAATAAATGAAAAAAAGACACAAGAAAAAAAAAAGTCACACAACTGTCCTGATAAAATGCTGTATATGGTTAGATTTCTAAATTTCTATGTTAAAATACATAATTGTTTATTCATATTCTTTAAATATTTTTCATTTTTTAAATTTTTATCTCCATATTCTATAGGGACTTAAAATTTAACATATTAATACTTGATGGAAAAATATCTGTTCCATGTTATACCTAAGATGTTTGATATTCAGACAGATAGTGAGGTTAAACCCAATTGCATAAGTTGTAGGCTAATAATAAGCTTTCCTTCTGGAGGTTTAACAACCTAAGTTTGCAGACCAAAAATTTTAGAAAAAGAAGGGCTTCAAGGACAGCCAACATTTTGACCATAGCCTTTCAAGGTCAGTGAACTCTCAGGACATAGGAGAACCTATACTGTAACATCATGTAACTCAGTTGTGCCCCAAATTTTCTGATCAAGGAGATTATGGAGCTACAAAGCAATGTGATTGATGACATAGAATGTGCCTAAGGAGAGTCACATGGAAAGAAAACATTCTCTCAGGCTTCCACAGAGAACAAACTGGTCAAGCAATGGCTGTGACTCATCCATATGGCTGACACTGACAAAGGATCTGCAACCTGCGGTAGAGTGTTACAGGATAAATCCGGAGGGTACTTAACTGACCTTATCACATACAAAAGTTACATTTCTTATTATATAGGTCTTGCTTTATCTTGGTCTTAACCACCCAGCAGAAAAGTATAAAAATGAGGTATATAAAGTAAAGCCATATTAATATGCTGAGCTGTGAAAGGCTCAAGTCAACAACCTCTGTGGATAACACTCTACTATTGTGGACTACTAGATTGTGTTAGATTGTTTTGATGAATTCACACACCTATAGTATTTAGTTGCCAATGGAATACTCATCTCTGACAGGACTAAACAAAAAAAGGGGATACAAAGGAAGAACCATTTTGTATCTGTATATGTAGAATAGTTAGGATACATATGCAGCTACTTTTGCTTAATTGAATGAGAAAAAAGATTTGTAATAATAGTGTTTGGACAGGATATTCTGTATGCATTGTGTACTATGGATAACCACTAAGAAGATAACAATGTACCATGTATCAATTATTGAAAGTGTGCTATTAATCAGTTTTGAAACTGTCTCATTGCTATTTGTTTCTCAATAAATAATAGAAAAAAAAGAAAAAATGATGAAGCACAAAAGGAATTCAAATATGGTAAAACCTGCAATCCATTAGTAGAATTTAGGTACTTGGTAAAATACTTAAATTTTAGATAAAAAATGTTTATTTCAGCCCAAGGAGCTAAAACTACCTTTGGAATCACCATTTAGAAACCACTAGAACCAAAACTAAAATAAAATAAGAAGTATGGGGTGCTTTAAAGAATAAAGTCCTGTATGACTGCAAGATATTTTCCACACAGTTAATTATTTGAAGTTCTACTATGTACCAGGACACATTGCAATGACATTAGGATGAGCAGCTGTAGTATCTGCTCTTGCCTTATCTTACAGATGGGAGAATGTGGGCACAGGGATTATTTCAGTCCATTTCAGTAC